CCCCCTTTCAATGTCCCCCTGTCTTTGCTCCCCTTCAACGTCCCCTTGTCCTTGACCCCCTACTTGTGTCCCTCCTTCCACGTCCCTCTGTCCCCTTTAATGTCCAGCTGTCCCCTCGTCCCCCTCCCGTGTCCCCCTGTTCCCGTTCCCCTCTGATGTCCCCCTGTCCCCACGTGTTTTGGGGTCCCCCTGCCCTGTCCCTGTGTCCCCCAATGTCCCTGTTCCCCTGTGATGTCCCCCTTCCATGTCCCCTTGTCCCCCTCCCGTGTCCCCCTGCCCCTCTCCCCAACTGTTTTGGGGTCCCCCCACCCCGTCCCCGTGTCCCGCCCCCGTCCCCGGGTGTGTCCCCGAGGCCCCCCGAGGTGTCACCTTTTGCGTGTGGCTTTTATTTGTGCCTCAGTGGCTTTTCACACGTGGCAGGGGCCGAACCCCCCCGGGGGCCAAAAAACCCCCCCCGGGGGCCAAAAAAACCCCCCCCCGGGGCCGATTCCGGGGCCGATCCTGGGGCCAATTCCCCTCCCCCTCCCTCCCCCTCCCCGGGGCCGATCCTGGGATTGATCCTGGGACTGGATCCACTCCCCCGGGGTCAATCCCCCCGGGCTCGGGGTTGGATCCCCCCGTTTCCCCCCAGGGCTGATCGTGGGGTCACCCCCCTCCTCCCGGGGCTGATCCCGGGGCCGATCCCTCCCGGAGCCCATCCCAGGGTCCAGCTCCCCACCAGGACCCTCCCCAGGGCTTGGTGAGCCCGGGGCTGATCCTGGAGCTGTTTTCCCACAGGACCCTCCCCAGGACTTGTCTCCCACGGGGCTGATCCCGGGGCTGATCCTGGAGCTGATCCTGGACTGATTCCCCCCGAGGCTGATCCTGGGGCTGATCCTGGAGCTCTTTTCCCCCAGGACCCTCCCCGGGGCCAGTCCCAGGGCTGATTCCCCCCGGGGCTGATCCTGGAGCTCTTTTCCCACAGGACTCTCCCTGGGGCTGATCCTGGAGCCAGTCCCGGAGCTGATCCTCCCTGAGGCCGATCCCAGGGCTGATTCCGGAGCTGTTTTCCCGCAGGACCCTCCCCAGGGCCTGTTGAGCTTGGGACCGATCCCGGGGCTGATCCTGGAGCTGTTTTTCTGCAGGACCCTCCCCGGGGCTGATTCCCCCCGAGGCTGATCCTGGGGCTGATCCTGGAGCTCTTTTCCCCCAGGACCCTCCCCGGGGCCAATCCCGGGGCTGATTCCCCCCGGGGCTGATCCCAGGGCGATTCCCTCCTGGGGCTGATCCTGGAGCCAATCCCAGAGCCAATCCCAGGGCTGATCCTGGAGCCAGTCCCGGAGCTGATCCTTCCCAGGGCTGATCCCAGGGCTGATTCCCCCTGGGGCTGGTCCTGGGGCCGATCCCCCCTGAGACCCTCCTTGGGGCTGGTCCCAGTGGCCCCGGGGCCAATCCTGGAGCCAATCCCGGGGCCGATCCCAGGGCTGATCCTCCCGAGACTCTCCCCGGGGCCGATCCCAGGGCTGATCCGGGGGCCAATTCTCCCCCTGGGGCCGATCCCGGAGCCAATCCCGGGGCTGATCCTCCCAAGACTCTCCCCAGGGCTGATCCCGGAGCCAATCCCAGGGCTGATCCCGGCGCTGATTTCTCCCCCGGAGCCAATCCCGGTTCCGATCCCTCCCCGGGGGCGGATCCCGGCGCCGTCCCCGGTGCGGGTGCGGGTGCGGCCGGTGCTGCGTGGGGCGGTGCGTGGGGTGGGGTGGGGTGGGGGGCGTGTGGGGTGGAAGCGGCGGCGTCGCCGGCGGCTACTGGGAGTTGTAGAGGCCGTCGTGGCCGTCGTAGCCGTCGTGGCCGAAGAGCTCGGGGCCGCCGCAGTACTTGGGGTCGTAGACCTGGCGGGGGAGCCCGTAGACCGTCATGCCCGTCTGCGAGGCGCCCTTGTTGCTGCCCATCTGCAGCCCGATGGTCATGGTGTCGCAGTGCTCCATCCCCAGCGACGGCTCGAAGATCTGACGCTTCGTGCCCGGCGCCGTCATCCCCGCCTGGGGAGGGGGGAAAGGGAGGGCTGGGGGGGCGGCCACGGGAACCCCAAAGGGGGTATAGGAACCCCAGAGGGGATACGGGCATCCCAAAAGGGATATGGGTATCCCAAAGGGGATGTGGACACCTCGAGGGGACACGGGCACTCCAAAAGGGACACGGGCACCCCCCGAGGAGATA